GGACGAGAGAACTTCGGCTGGTTGATGGATAGTTGGAGCGTGCCATTGGCACTTCTCACATTTTCGCTAGAAATCCTCACAATCTTTGACCATCCTTGGCCAGAAATACCCGTGGCGTTTGATTTTTATTGCGAGAGATCTTCCGCCGGAATGGTTTCCACAGGACCCGGAGTGCACTTCTTGCATTATCCGAAGCACTTTTTCTCCTTGCACGCAGGTCATAGGTGGTCCAGAGAATATCCTTTTATAGAGTTCTCCGTCAACTAGAACGTACCGTGCGGCCTGGGTTTTTATTTTTCGGGCCGCCCATTTTTCCGATGGGAGTTCTCTGTCGGTTATGTATGCGAGGATTGTTTCCATCCATGGATGGCTGAATCCGTAATCGGACTGATCTACGGCTGGACGGTTATCGTTTTCGTTGGTATCGTCCTCCGGTTTGTTGATCAGGTTTATGACTACGGGTGGTCTGATGCTAGGGTGTTCGATGAACTCCACAGGGATTACCCTGCTTAAACCAGGATCGGAGCTTGACGCCAATGCGGCCAGGGCGTCTGTTTGGGCGTTTTCAGCTCGAGGGATCCTAGTAAGGAAGAATTGATCAAATTTTGGGTTAGGTCCTTGACCAAGGTTAGGTCTACTTCCATCCTTTTGTCCATTGCTTCGTACTCCTCGCTGACCTGGCTAGCCACTAGCTGGGAATCGCAGTAAGCGTGGAGATTACAAATCTTTAGACCGCGAGCTAGTTGCAATCCTGCGATCAAGGCCTCGTATTCGGCTTTGTTGTTCAAAGCGTGGAAATCAATCGAAATGATTGTTCCAACACTTCTCTTGTCAGGGATGCGAGTCGGATGCCGATCCCAGAGCCTTGTTTGGATGAGGATCCGTCAACGTATAGGATCCAGGTCGAGTTCGCCTCCTGGATGTGCCTCCCGTTGGGAGTTCTACTAAGAAGTCTGCGAGCACTTGCGATTTTGCACAAGTCTTTGCGCAATACTCGATGTCGTACTCGCTCAGCTCGATTAGCCATTTTACTAATCTTCCAAATTGGCTGGGACTGTGCAGAATTGTGGGGAGAGGGAAAGAAGTGGGCACGACGATAGTGTGAGACTGGAAATATGGTCTCAGTTTCCTTGCTGACATGACCACCGCTAATGCCAATTTCTACATTATCAGATATCGCGTTTGCGCGCCTAGTAGCGTCTTACTTACGTAAAAGATTGGCTTTTGTTCGCCGCGTTCTTCTCGGATGAGGACACCACTTACGGCGGTCGTTGATACCGAGATGTAGAGGAATAGTGGTTCTCCTTCTACAGGTTTTGCGAGTACTGGCGGGTAGCTAGGTAATGCTTTAGCTGTTGGAAATTTTTCTCGCATTCTTCGGACCATTCAAACTTTTTGTTTCCCTTCAATGTTTCGTAGAATGGAAGACATTTGTCCATTGATCGCGAGATAAAGCGGTTAAGTGTGCGACCCTGCCGGTCAATATTTGTACTTCGCGTTTCGTCTTAGGGGATACCATATCTATCAGCGCTGTGATTTGTTTCGGATTGGCCTCGATCCCTTGGTAGGTGACGCGATACCCTAAAAATTCTCCAGATGCGACGGAAAATCGACACTTTGAAGGATTCAACTTCATGTTATGAAGGTTGAGTCTCTCGAAACATTCTTGGAGGTGCACGACATGATCTCGTTCTTCGAGGGATTTCACGAGCATATCATCGATGTACACTTCCATCATTTTTCCGAGCTATTCGGATAACATGCAATTGACGAGTCGTTGATAAGTCGCGCCGGCATTCTTAAGTCCGAAGGGCATTACCTTATAGCAGTAGGTTCCGTGATCAGCTATGAATGCGGTTTTCTCTCGATCGTCAGGGTTCATCATGATCTGGTTGTACCCGGAAAAAGCGTCCATGAAAGATAGGAGTTTGTTCCCCGCGGTTGCCTCGACTAAGCGATCAATATGCGGCAGTGGGTAACTATCTTTTGGACACGCTTTATTGAGATCGGTGAAATCGACGCAGACTCGCCACTTTCCGTTCTTTTTCTTAACGACGACAGGATTTGTGAGCCAGTCAGGGTATCGAACTTCTGTGATCGATCCGACTTTGAGAGGTCTGTTGACTTCGTTGTTGACCGCTTCGGCGCGTTCTGGCCCCAGTTTCCGTCTCTTTTGTTTGACGGGTTCGGATGTTGGGTCAACATTGAGTTCGTGACATGTGATGTTAATGTCCATTCTTGGCATGTCTTCCGCAGTCCATGCGAACCTGTTCAAGTTTCTTTCAGACAAATCAGGAGCTCGGTTTTCAAAGTTTTGCTAAGGTTTGCACCGATTTCAATGCAGGTTCAGGGAAGGCTTATTCTATGTATACTGAGACGACAGGTTCGCATGTAGGCTCACGTTTACCTTCCAATGCCTCGGCTGCTCGCAATTGCCAAAAGATTTCCGTTTTATCTTGTTCCAGGGCATTGTCGAGGGCAGACGATTTCTTTTTCTTTTTGGTAGGAGCGTCAGCCGGCAGATTTTTTCGTTTTAAATCTGCAGCATAGCAAACCTGCGAGGTTCTCCGATTTCCCCATATCGTCTTGATTCCGCGCGGAGTGGGAAACTTAAGACGCATATGGTATGTTGATGGTACCGCTTGCATCGAATTTAACCACGGTGTCCCTACGATTGCGTTGTAGGACATGGGTCGATCGACGACTAGGAATTCGACGTTTTTGACTATGCTTTCAGCTTGAACCGTAAGGTTGATTGTGCCGAGAGTCATAGTTATTTCTCCCGACAGTCCTACTAGCAGGCTTGGGTTTTCCGCGATTTCAGACCGATCTATTTCCATTCTCTCGAGAGTGTTTTTGAAGATGATATCAGCCGAGCTTCCGGTATCGACTAATATCCTAGCGACATCCATATTCCGGATCGCCAACTCGATGACAAGAAGATCGTTGAGAGGTTTGATCGAATCGATCATTGCTCTTTCGTTGAACGAGATGACGTTTCCGTTTAAGTTTTGGATATCTTTTCTCGTTTATTTTAGCTGTTATTGTGTAAGAGAATCCGACCCCCCCCCCTACTTCTAGCGCCAAACTGTGGGAACCGAAATTCGCACTGTCAATTTTCCGTCAAATATGGAAACTTAGGGAAAACCCTAATTCTACTGAGGTCTTGGATCTCTGCGGAAACCACTAAAATGAAAAAGATTAAGAAAATATGGATGAACAGAATATCGACGAACAGAGTATAGATAAAGAATTTGCGTAAAAGCTATTATTGATAAAGAGATTGATGCTGTTACAAAGAGAATCGCGGAACTTAGACGACAAAACGTTTTAAGGTTCCGACTTGCTAGTCTAACCACCTAAGTCTTAAATTCGCCTAATCTAACAGCCGTCTTTCTAGGTCTCCAATTCGTCCTCTTGCTCTGTCCTTGGCCTTCTGCTTATACACTCCCTCCTTAGGCGGTTTAGTCTTTCCCTTTCGCCCAGATTCGAGTTTATCAGGAATCTTCCATTTATCTTGATCTTTCCATTTTCTTTGCGGAAACCTTCTATTTATCTTCAAACTTGACATTTATCTTCAACATTTATATTCTTCCTGCTAGTAAATCGTCAAACCGTCATTGTATCTTTGGGCTGGATTTCGTTTAAAATCGCAAGTGGACTTTTATCACGCTTTTGGACTGTCCGAGCCGTTTTGAAATAAAACCCGTTTTACGATTTTAGTCGAGATCATTTCCTATTACGATGTATTCTTTTATAAGATTCCCGAGTTAATTTTATAGTTTGGCAATGTATGATGTTCTGTCTAATTGTTGCCGTTTTATACGATCTTCCCGAACTTTTACGAGAAAAAAAGACTTTTACGATTTTTATCGTAAAACTTGAACGGTGAGACGGACCGAGAGGAAATGATAGACCTTTAGACCATGGTTCAGAGCATGATCCGGATGGAAGGACGTATGCTTTGTGTCACGGATGCGGGAGATCAGAGCTCGGGACGGTCAGCTCGACGTATGCGAGCTGCTTTGAGGCGACCAGGTCGCCGTACGGCTATCTGGATCGTGGACTCAAGCTCGCCGTACGGCAAGCTGAACCGGTTGGTTCGGCTCGTCGTACGTTGAACTTGGTTCGGTCGAACATTCTCGCGGTTTACGGCGGATGCGGTTTTTTGTGGTTTTTCGCTTAACTTAGGCAATCGTGTAATCGGCGATTGTTTCGTTCGTTCTTCCGAGATGACGATTTCTAAGTCTTCCGCGGATTTGCTTTGTTCACTACAAGAAATAATGGTTTTAATAGCACCCGTAAAGCGCTATCATACGATACCATAGCGTTGTAGAAAGCGCTCCAATATCGTCCGCGATAATAGGTCCCGTACATTAGATAGCGGTTTTATTATCCGCTATTGATATTTTTTTAATAATAGCATTTTCGTTTATGCAATTGTAATTCTTTTAAATAGCGTCTCTAAAATGTTATTATAACATTTTTACTATAGCAATTTTTAAATTTTACTACTGCAATTTTTAATTACTATTATAGTCTTCTATCAATAGCAATATTTGAATATTTCATTGAATTTTTTTAAATTTTTTATATGTAGTTGTTTTATTTCATTTATAACAAATTTAATTTAATATTTTAATTTTTAAAATAATACAGAATCGAAAAATTGTCAAATAAATTTTTTGTCAAATTAATAATTCTAATAAAATCATTCATTTCGTTATTTACACAAATCATCAAAACTTATCTAACATATTATCATTCTACTACTAATAAGCCGTCATATTCATCTCTAACATATTTTCTCTTCCACCACCACCAAGCTTCTCAACTATCTTTTTTCCCTCGCTTCTGAACCAACTCCATTTCATCTCTAATCCATCTAATGTCTCTGCAGCTAACTGCAGGTCAAAACACACAAATCTGCTCAGCCCAGTAACAAACTCAGGTAAAAAAAATGCAGTAGGCACATAGTCAAACAAACAAATCTCACCGAGTCAAGGAAGTGTTAAATACCAATTCAGCAAGCTCTCCATAAACAGAACAGTGTGAGTGTCAGGGCATACAATGATGCCATGAGCTCCTCTGTAGTAGCTGCTGGTGATTGTTCTGAAACGTTCTTGTCCTGCTGTGTCCCACTGTATACACGTAAAATACCAAAAGGGTGATTATGTGCTCTTTGTAATTTTTTTAACTGATTACGTTAAGTATTCAGCACAAGAACACTTACGATCTGGAGTTTGATAGTCTTTCCGTCCTGTTCAACTGTGCGGATTTTCTGCACCACAACATCAGTAGAGATTAATACTTTCTAGTTTCTAATATGATTGTTTCCAGTTTTCTGCATATTAATAAACGATGAAATGAGAATGCTTACAAAGTCAACACCAATGGTACTGATGTAGCTATCCAGGTAAGAATCATCCTGTACACAAAAAAATCGAGATATCAAATTATAAGAAGGCAGGGAGTAACAACGAAACATACCATAGTGTAAACAGAGAACTAAGTGGCGATTGAATTGAGTAATGGTTTTAGAGAAACAAGATATTTAACTTCAAGGGCCTATAGATTGTTATCCTGTGTTCAATGTAAAAAGAGAGACAAAACTGCTCATCTGAGAAAGAAACTAGAGTTTTACTTACAGCAAATCTTAGAAGCAAGCAAGATTTTCCAACACCAGAAAAAAACAGTCAAACCTTGTTCACAATCAGACCATGTCAAGAGCTAGGAGCAAAGCAAGAAACTCACATAGCTTTCTCAATCAAAGATGAAAACTCACATAAATGGTTCCTGAAACACAAGACGGTAAAGGATTTGAAGTCAGGGGAGAGGGAGGGGGGAAAGGAGAGCGGAAGACTTCGAGGAGGAAGACGGTAAAGGATTTGAAGGGAGGGGAGGTGAAGAGAGTTGAGGAGAGGTTTGATTCAGTGGCGGAGAAGAGGTGTGTGAGGCTGGGCTGACAAGGAAGAAGAAGAGAAGTAGATGAGGAGAGTTGAGGAGAGGTTTGATTCAGTCGCCTCTCTCTCTCTCTCTCTTTTTTGACCTCTCTCTCTCGACCGCGATCTGTGGGTTCTCAGAAAATAATTGGAAAAAAACAATTAAACAGATCTCAAGCGTTGATTCAGCATGATCTAACGGTGTAGAGGCTGATCCGCACCAAACCAATAGAAAACAGGGGTGAAGATAGATATGTGATTAAATTTGGACCTTTGATTTGAAAATCAATTAATGGCTCAGAAGAAAACACAATAAATTATCTTCTTTTTTATATATAATTATGGGAAACTTATTAAAATTTTAAATAATTTGATATCACAAATTAAAAATTTTAATCTATATATTTTTATTTAAAATTTCAAATTGTATGATTGATTAAAAATTAAGGTTTAATTTTATATGATATAGGTCAATATGAAGTATGTGGTTTGGAGTTTATGGACTGAAGTTATATTATGAATATACTTATTTTTCATAGTTTGTATAATTTCGTAATTTAGTATAAAACAAGTGTTATAAATTTAAAATTTTTTGATTTAATACTTTTGTAAAGAGTTTTGAATATGGTATAGGGTTTGAAGTATAAGTAGGGATATTGATATATGTAGGGTTTGTATTATAATGTTCAAAGTTGAATACTTCTATATGATATCTAATCTGAGTGTTTGGATTAAAATGTTTTAAGTTGAAGATCTATATATAAAATGAAATTTAAGATATATGATTTGAGATATATAGTTAGAGTTAAGGTCATGTTTAGGGTTTAGGGTGACAATATTTAATGTTTTTAATATTAAAGTTTGAATAAAACTTAAGATTTTAGTTTGAGTTTTAGAATATACTTGGAGTTTGAATTTAGACTTTTATGTGATAAATTTGAAAAAGGAATAGGTTTTAGTTTAGTAATTTATATTATTGTTTATATAAGGAAAAGATTTTAGTTTAGTAATTATATTATTTGTAGTAATTAGATTTTCGACTTATATGTAGGGTTTGAATTTGGGGTTTAGGGTATTAGATTTAGGGCGTAGATTTAAAATTTAGTGTTTTAGCTTTTGATTTTAAATTTGAGATTAGATTTTAAAATGATAAAATTTTGAGTTTAGGTTAAAGATTAAAATTATACGAACAAACAATTTTTTTATAGATTAAAATTTAATATGTACTTTATAAATATAAAACAATAATTTAAGTTTATGGTTTAAAGCCTCCACTTTAAATACCACCTCTAAATTAGTACATAATGAAAATTGTCACATGAATCATAGTTCTTGCAAATTGTCAAGACTACAAGATCCCTTTGTTTACTTCACACACGTATCTATACTAACAGAGTCAAGACTATAAGATACTGGCATGATCCCTTTCTTTGAAATAGTCACATGGGGATATTTGAATCCAAGAACGCCACACGCCACAGTATACGGAAAGCAATCTTACAACGCAACAGAATCTGAAACTCATAAAATAATGCAAGGAACACCACAGTAATTTTGAGCTGCTGCAGTCAAAAACAGAGCACTAGAGTTTCCAGCACACTGTCACAAAAAAATCACAGAACAAAAAGAGAGATAAGTAAGACCGGTTATGAAAGACATACGGTTCAAGATTGATGAAGAAAGACCACACTAGACCAAACTACAAACTTGTCTTCTCAGCATAACACATCACACACACAACTAACTAAGAACATAACCAGTTTCAGATGCATTGAAGAGACACAATAGACCAAACTGCAAACTTTGTCTTCTCAATATAGCACACAGCTATTTGATGCAGCAAGATATTTGGAAATTATCCAAATATCTTTATTATTCATTAGTTTATTTCGATAATTACCTTTTATTTGTATTTTCCATATTTGAATTGTTTTCCTATTTTAACTAAGATTAGGGTTTTCTAGATTTAAGGTTTTATTATAAATAGGTATTCAAACCTAATGATGTATTGAGATTTTGATAATTAATAAATAAAGCTTTGCTTTATACCTTGATATAGATTTGATTCAGTTCATCTATTTTAAGTTGCCTTGAACAAGATTCGATTAAATTCATCTTCTTCAGGAAGTTGGTCTCAAGAAGCTAACGAAAGTAACTCTTGATCGATCCAAGAACAGGTCTCGAAGAACCCTAAATTCTTAGATCGACCGTTCACCTATCTATCCGCTACATCACTTCTCAATATAGCACACAACACACACACTACTAACTAAGAACATAAAATTTTCCCAACCAAGATTTCAGATGTAACAAAGAGACACAATGGATCAAACTGCAAACTTTGTCTTCTCAACGTCACACAACAGGCACACACTACTAAGAACAGAACCATTTTCCTACAACACTCCTACCAAGATAAGATGGGGGTAGAATCCTTAACATACAAGTTTGAACTGTCGAGGATATTGACACGCCACAAGAGAACCATAACTAACTGCCACGATGATGGCACCTTTCTGCAAGCGAAGACAGGACAAAACCGTAGTTCCAAATTTAGTGACATATCACAAAGTAGCTAAAATTGTTAGGTGAATTTGAGCTATGAAACGTCCTCTTACCAAGTGTATAACGGAATGCTAATCCAATCCATCACGTGGTAGACACCTCTGTAATTAAAAAATGTATATTTGTTTTAAAAATCAGACACATCGGGGAAAGCAATAAGATAAAAGAAGGAAGCCAAGTAAGAGAAGAATGTGAGTCTATGACATAACAAATTTTAATGATTCTACAGATGCAACCACAAACTCTTTCCCTGGTGGAGAGATCACATTGGAAGGAAATCTAATCCTATAAAAGTCTTATGCTTTCAACAGATTCTACAAAATGGGTTCCAACAAAACCCCTTTACTTTGAAAGTATGTTCTCTTGGTCAGAGAAACCATTCCTTGAGAACCTCAGCTTTGTTAAAGTCTGCACCCCACAAAGATCAAATTTAGTTTTGATTAGTGAGCTGAAAAAATTATCAGATAACTAAAGATAATTATAAAAGTGAATCCCTCAATAGGATTGGGGAAAAGAGAGAACTTTCCGCCATGGCTCCAGGATTTGAGGCGAGCAGAGAAAATTCCTGAGAGAAAGATAAGGAGGCGACTTTAGAGGATGGGAGAGGTGATGAAGTAGGTTTCTGTTTAATACTATCACTGAAGCAAATATGAATCATAAATCAAATCACGAATTAGGGTTCTTGATCGAATCAGAGAGGTATTTAGGTAGCCAAACATGAACTACGGAAAGGAAACAGAGACAATGGCAAAGAGAGAGATAGATATTACAACTGGGATACCCAAGAGATTTAATTCAGCTGGCCGTGAACGACTAAGATTGGAGTGTTGTCCGGTGGAAGCCATGAAGAAACTGACCACCAAAAACACAACGGAGGAGAGATGGAAACGGTGGGTTCATGAGAGAGAGAGAAAGAGAGAGAAAGAATACAAAGCTATCTCAGTGAATCTGAGAATATTTTAATTTGTTGGGAATTGTTTTTTTCGAAGTGTTGGAGCCTTTTTCTAATTGTTGGAGCCTATATTTACCAAATTAAAGCAGCTAAAATTTTTTATTTTCCCACAATACCCAACATAGCGTTTTAAATTTAGAAACACTATTAAAAAAGTCAGTATTAATATACAACTAGATGGACGGCCCGCACACCTGTGCGGACATTAATATACATCGCATAAAAATTGATATGAGTGTATAAATGTATTGTAATTCTCTACGTATTCTGTTTTTCCTTGTATATATTTCTATCTTATCCATTTCGTTTTGTTTTTGTTTTTTTCACACACATTCATTCTGCCTCTTTTGCATCTCTCTCCCCGTTGTTTTTGTCTGTTATTGTACCTCTTTCGCTTGCTTTCTCTTTTTCTTTTTCTCTCTTGATCAAATAATCTTAAAATCTCTCAAACTTACATTCTCTCATAATCATTTATATTCACTCTTTTACCCCATCTTTATTATAGCCCTCAATATTTTACCTTCAAAATTTTTCTATTTCTTTTATTGTTCCAAAATTTTTACCAGATTTTGTTAAATCTTCAAAACATTCTCACATAATAGTAATAAATGATTTCATGATCTATCTCAGTTACATTCAGTCTCTCACTTATTTCACTCTCATATCCATCATGATCATAACCCTCACTCTTGATCATCAACATCTCTCTCTCTCACCTATTTTTTTTTATTTATTTAGCTTTTAACATAAAACTCACAATTGAACTCACAACAAGTTAACCAAACAAATTCATTATTAAATTCTCTCCAATTTTCACACTATCTTATCAAATATTGATTCATTTGACCAAGATTTTCATTAGAAAATAAATATTTTTAAAAAAATATTATTATTTTTTAAATTACTTCAATACACACCTATTTTAAGTAAATTTGATTTACTGTATTTCAAAAAAAATGATTAACTAATTATATATCCTAAAAATATCTAAATTTTTAAATAATGTGATGTCATTAGACATATATATCAAAATAACATGTTTCTATTGTATAAAATTTGTTATAACTTTGTTATCCTAATTCTTTTTTAAAATATTATACCGCAAAAATACTTATCATTATTTTATAATAATTTTATTTTAAATTTAATTTACGTTATATTTTGCATTTTCGACATTAATAAAATTAGAACTTATCATTTATATTCATCTTCCTTTCTCAAATTTTTTTTATGTTGTATAAACACCTAAAATTAATTAGTTTACAATTATACTAATACGTAAATAATATTCCGATATTCAAATAAAAATGATGTAGGAACAAATATAAAATCACAAAGAATACAACAAAAGATTTTATTATTATTCACTCATATATTTTTATTTATGTCTATTTTTTTATTAAAAATTAACATGTCAATTTTATTATACTCCAAGCAATATGAATATAATAACCTAGTCTCGTATTAATATAGTTCAACTATAATACCAGTTTGTCATTGAAAATTA